ATGCAAAAGCATGGCAGAAAGTGAGGAGGAATTAAAGAACCTCTTGGAAGGAAAGCAATGATAACCCTAGACAACACCTTAAAAAACCAGCCTCCCCCCCTGCACTCTGCTCATTACCCCCAGGATTTTCACTTTACCCCATTTGGGGTAATTTCCCCCTGTTCCCTGACCTATGATTTAAGACAACAAATTGAGACTTGGCCTGTTCAATCCCAAAGTTCTGGAACAGTGGTACAAGAAATAGAAAAGGAATGGCAGATTACTATGCAAAGGACAATAATAACAGTTTCAGCAAGTGAGTGAAGGTCTAAGCAAAATAGAAGATTTGATAAAAGTCACAAAAGAGGGGACAGTAGATGCCAAGCAAAACTTAAATGAAGCTGCACAAACTTTAGAACTGTCTTTATTGGGCACGACACCAGGTAATACAGATGGGATAGAGAGTTATCCAGTGACCTATGCAGCTTCCAAAATTAAAAAGCATTATGTGAAAAATCTCAAGAAAGCAGAGATACTGAAACAAGAGAATCTTGTGAAAATATGGGAAGTGACAAAAATGGATATTCTATCAGATGGGTTGAAAGATTGTTCAATTCAAAAGGAAACTGAACGATGGGATGTATTGTATAAATGGCTGCAGTTACCAGATAGTTTTGGAGTAACAGAGAATTAAACTAAAATTAAATGATAAGATGAAAGCAGGAGGGTAATCAAACTGTGAAAAAGCAAAAAAGTTGATTTGTTATTGCAATATGAATTGATTGGATGAAGGTATACTCTGTGTTCTCCTATCGCCCTAACCCTTTTCCCCTCTTCCCTATTTCCCCTTACTTTTTGTATTCCCTACCCAGTCCTTAAATAAATACAGTGGTGCCCCGCATAGCGACGTTAATCCATTCCAAATTAATCGTCGCTATGTGGAAACATCGCTAAACGGAACGGAAAAACCCATAGGAATGCATTAAACTTCATTTAATGCGTTCCTATGGGGTCCAAACTCACAGTACAGCGAAGATCCTCCATAGCACCACCATTTTCGCTCCCTGATTTTCGGTGATTTTTAAGGAAATATGTGATATATTTGGAAAAGATGTCGAATTTAATTCTAAAATTGCTTTGTTGTCAATTTTTTATACCATAGAACTTGATTATTGCTCAAAGGAACTGATTTCCAATTTTATGACAAGTGCTAGAATATTAATAGCTAGATTCTGGAAAGATAAATATGATATTAAATTAGAAGTTTGGTATAATGAAGTATGGAACAGTGTGTTAAATGATAAATTGACTACTGAAGTTAAGATGAAAAGAGGGGAAATAAGTTTAAATATTTTTATGCTATTTGGGGTAGATTTACTGAATTTGTATTAGTGAAAGGAAATGGGAAAGCCTCTAAGCAACAATCAATACAATTTTAGAAAGGAGGTTCGTAATAAAAGTATTGCTACAAAGGGTCCCGTGGGTATGGGGTGCACTGTATTTTAGATTGTATTAGTAAGTATTTTGTATTCTTGTATTTGTTTTGGAAATAAAAATAATAAAATAAAAGATTTAAACAAGCTAGATACAGTGGGCCCTCAACTTATGAACGTCCCTACATGCGAACTTTTCGGGTTACGAACCTGATCTCATCACAAGTAGTAAGCCCTACTTGCGAACGTGGATCGGGTTACGAACCCAAAAGGCAGGGAGAAAGGGCGGGAAATTTGAATTTCCTGCCCTTCCTCCCTGCCTTTGGAGCTTTCAAAAGGCTTCCTCCAACATTGGAGGAAGCCTTCTGAAACCTCTGAAGCCAAAAAGGCAGGGAGAAAACGCGGGAAGTTCGAACTTTCCATGCTTTCTCCCTGCCTTTTGGGCTTCCAAACAAGAAGCAAGCCGTGTGGCCGGGGGGGGATCGGCTCCCTCCTTGCATCTGATGCTGAGTCCGCTTCCCGCCGGGCTGGGCACGAAGCGGACTCTCCATCGGGTGCAAGGAGAGAGCCGATTTCCCCTTGGCCGTGTGGCTTGCTTTTCCAAACAAGAAGCAAGCCACGTGGCCGGGGGAGGGAATCGGCTCCCTCCTTGCATCTGATGCTGAGTCCGCTTCACACCGGGCTGGGCGCAAAGCGGACTCTGCATTGGGTGCAAGGAGCCAATTTCACACGGCTTGCTTTTCCAAACAAGAAGCAAGCCGCGCCCGGCTTGTTTCCGAAGCCAAAAAGGCAGGGAGAAAGTGCGGAAAGTTTGAACTTCCCGTGCTTTCTCCCTGCCTTTTTGGCTTCAGAGGTTTCAGAAGGCTTCCTCCAATGTCGAAGTCTTTTGAGAGCTCCGAAGCCGCCCATTGCAGCGGTGGGGGGGTCCCCCAGGGAGATCTCCCAGGGCTTGCACGCCACCATGAGAGACCTTCCTGGGGGTCCTCCCCACCACGATCGGAGCGCTGGGAGGCTAGAGGTGGCCAGGCGCTTGGGCGCTTGCCCCCGGCCACGTGGAGGCAGCGGAGCACCGGCAGGCTTGAGACTGGTACGTCCTATTTAAAAAAGCTTTTCTGTATAGGTTTTGGAGGGTGGGATTGGACTGGGGGGGTTATGTGTCTGTGGGCTTTTGTATGTGTGTTTTGTGTGTTGTTGTTTTTTTTTGCAGTCCCAACGTGGAACTTGCTCTTTTTATTTTTTTTTTATTTTTTTTATTTTTTGAAATGCTAGAATGGATTAATTCCATTCCCATGCATTTCAATGGGAAATGGTAGGTCGACTTACGAACTTTCCAAGGTACGAACATTGTTCCAGAACGGATTAAGTTCGTAAGTCGAGGGCCCACTGTATGTTCTGGGCTCTTATTTAGTTAGTGTTTGAGAGGAAGGCTTACCTTACTTGCACGGTATGCATAAAATGGGTCCAGCATAACTTCAAAGCCCTGTGCAATGGAACCCAGTTTGGAGCTTATGTTGATTATGGCTGCCTTGCTGCAGCTCATTCCTTCTGTTTCTGCCTCCTTAGCTGCCCTCTTCAATAGAGGCAGGAATTCCTGAAATGCACAATATGGATTAGGTAACAAAAGGTGTTTTCCCTCATTAGTCTTCTGGGAAGGAGCAGATTCCTGCTTGTGCAAAGCCAAATCTTTCAAATCATTATATTATTAAGGAGCTTATTGGGTATTATTGTCATTGTGGCGGACCGCACATCACTCCTGTCAGTCATTTTAGAGCTCTAATGCAGGAGCCTATGAGAGGACAGGAGTGCCGGAGTCAAGAGAACTGGGAGAGACAGAGAGTCAGTTAGGGAGAAAATCGGGAAGTGTTTAGACAAGAGATTGGAAAGTTGGTGTGTTAGAGTATATAAAAGAGGTAATAAGAAATACATAGACAGTCAGAATATATTGAGACCTTGATTAGAGTGAATGAATACAAGCAAGCTTACATGTAATCAAATCCACATTTACTGAATGAATAATAAAAGGACAGCAATGATTTTACTTCTCTGATTTACCTACCAAACCATAAATAAACCTTGTTATATTTGGCAGCAATAGTCTGAGATTCATAAGTGGTACAGTGAGGGTAATATCCTCTGGTGGCAGTGTAAAAGGGTGAAAAGAACAAGTCGTGTGTGAAGGTGAACCTGTGTCAGTGAGAAAACATACAGGGGACACTGGGGGTGCACAACAAAAGTGGCGGCAGAATGGTGGGATTTGAAATGAAGGAAATCCAGTGAGCCTAAGTAAAGAGAAATCTTCTGAGTCTGAGGGACCTGGTAGTTGAAGGCTGTGGAGAGAAGGAGTAGGGAACCCTAGAGCTCTTAGTGAACAGCTTGGAAAGGGACTCCAGATCACAGACCTTTAGGAAAGGTGAAAGCATGGAAAAGACTCTGAAGAGAAGTCTGGGTTTAAAAGTTTAAAAGAAAGGAAGGACCAAGCGGCTAGCTTTAGATCCCAATGCTCCCAATATCCCTTCATGGATTGCTGCCTTCTCGTGGTGAAAGGGCTTGAGTAACTTAGAGAAGCTATGGGCTATGCTGTGCAGGGACACCCAAGACGGACAGGACATAGTGGAGAGTTCCGACTAAACGCAATCCACCTGGAGTAGGAAATGGCAATGCCACTCCAGTATCTTTGCCAAGAATGCCCCATGATGAGAAACAAAAGGCTAAAAGATATGGCGCTGGAAGATGGGCCATCAGGTCGGAAGGCGTCCAACATGCTACTGAGGAATAGCAGAGGACAAGTACAAGTAGCTCCAGGGCTAATGAAGTGGTTGTGCCAAAGCCGAAAGGACGCTCAGCTGTGGACGT